GGATGCACCCAAGGAAAGGGTATATAAATTGAGGGGTGGTGAGTAGCGAAAGCAACACGCAATAGAAAGAAAAAAGAAGACATGAAGAAGTGAAGGAGATGGGTATATCTGATGAACTTGGACAGGACCAACACAGGACCCCAGACCAGTGATCTCTATTCTATCTATTTTTCTTCTTTTTCCCCTTCTTTCTTATTATCATTAGGCGATGCGAAGCATACTATATCATTTGCCATAATTTGCTATATACTTAGCCAATTATCATATATGCAATTAGTACATTAATAAATGTCTGTGCATGGACTTTGAGACTTGTCTCACTGTTGTCTGTTCTGTTGGTGATTTGCAAATCTAAGTCACGTCTCCCTCATCTGAGCAGGACATGACACCAGGACCCGTGGAGCTCTCCTGCATGGCAGTGGGCTGCGTGCCAGCATCTCCCCTTCAGCAGGGACACCTCTGAAGGTTACTCTTCGAGCTTGAGAGAAGTCCTTGCCACAACAGATTCTTGATAAGTGATTAATAGCACGCTAAACTAAGAAATCTTAGCTAAGTGGTATAACGGATTGATTATGCACATATATAATCTTTTAAACATAAACCATTGACCAAGTCTGGGACTATGAGTGGATCTAGCTGCACCCAGACTTCTCTCCGAGAAGTTTAGAATGCAAGGGAGCCCACTCTGAACCTCGTGACTCAATGTGAGGGTCTCCTTGACAGTTTTGTCTTACCTGTCTTCCCTGCAGTAAATAACATATGAACCTTGCCATCAAATCTTATTAAACCACTGTTGCATTTACTATCAAACTTTGTTAAATCACTGTTTTGTATCAATAAATACATTGCTACTTCTCTTTTACGAGTGAAGTAATGTAAGTTCAGCTAACTATTATTTTGCATATACACCATTATAGGGTCATTAAGTAAGTTTACTGTAAGAGAGAAAACAGGATTAAATGCACTATTTATCCCACCTTTACTACAATTAGAAAACTTTCCTTCGTCCTCTCACATCTTTCCCTATACATAAATACAAGATCTCTGTTACCTACATATGAAATACCTTATCAGAGATTACAGTCCCCTTTTCTGGCACGCTAGCAGTAACACCACTAAGAAAGCAGCACTCTCTGGAAAGCAGTAGAACTTTTATCTCCATGTTAGTAAAGAAATATGACTTTGTTTCCACAAACAAATTGCAGATTTTTGCCAATTTGCCCACAACCTATATTGAGGACTGCTGCCTTATCATGTTTGTTAAGCTGTTTACCTCAGGAAATAAGCCCCCCAAAATTATTTAAGTTGGAATTTACCTTGTTTTATCTACATGATGGACACATAAGCCAACTGCTGAGGTGTGGGAGTTTACACATATGCCAAAACAAGCAGTGTCACTTAATCAAGTTATTTGATATTTTGCTTAAAGAAGCCTCCACATTTGTAGCATAAGGCCAAGACCTCAAAGGTTCTCATTTAGGGTTCTGAAACAAATTTTAGTATCACAGAATCATATAATGGTTTGGGCTGGAAGGGACCTTAAAAATCATCTAGTTACACACCCCTGCCACGGGCAGGGACACCTTCCACCAGACCAGGTCACTCACAGCCCCGTCCAACCCGGCCTTGAACCCTTCCAGGGAGGGGGCAGCCACAGCTGCTCTGGGCACCCTGGGCCAGTGTCTCTTCACTCTCATCATGAAGAACTTCTTCCTTGTATCTAACCTACACCTACCCTCTTTCAGTTTAAAGCCATTAATTACCCTTTATCCTATCACTACATGCATGTATATAAAGTCTCACTCCAGCTTGCTTGTAGGCCCCTTTATGTCCCTGCTGGAGCCTTCTCCTCCAGGCTGAACAACTCCAACTCTCTCAGCCTGTCCTCATGAGGTGCACCAGCCCTCTGATCATCTTTGTGGCCTCCTCTGGACCTGCTTCAACAATACAGCAGAGAAGTTTAAGAATCTAGTGTAGTAGTTATAGCTGTGTATATGAAAGTAACTTACTCTTAAAAAAGGTCTTCAAATCATTGACATCAATCAAACAATGAATCTTTTTAATGTAAATCCATGAGGAAAAGTGACTAACACCCTTCTTCCCCAAACATCGTCCTCTTAGAGCATCTTATGACAGTTTAGGACCATCTCTCCCCCTTCCAGGGGTCACGATAATCTAGTGGGTATTGTGTCATTGGGGAAAAAGAAACTGTACGGGTCTCCATACTATTCTCACAATACAGCAATGGAGAAGGTAATCTTAATTTATAGGTAAAGTAAAATTAGAACCACTTTATGCTAGCACACTGGATGGCAGAAACAGCTGAGGGTCAGAAAGCATGAAACACCTTGTCCAGCTGTTCCTGCTGTGGAGTCAATCTCACACTGACAAGAGGTGTAGCTCATTCACCTTATTGGTTTTGGCAGTTCACACACATAACCTACCTAAGAAACAGGTGCTGTTATTTATATATCTTTGCAGGATATTCAAGGATATACCAGAAGTCAAAATTACCTTTGAAGGATTGGTTAGTTGCCTGATACCTATGGCATGCTACACACTGAACAGCTGTGTTAGGTTTTGTCATCCTTTCAGTATGAACCAACACAGATTAAATACTGCTCCATGGCAATAAACTAAATTCCTGCTTACAAGTTTGAGACGGAAAAAAAGCTCTGACCCTCCAGTCAAGCTGACAAGTATCCTTTTTTCTTTTCAAACTCCAGCATGGAAATACACTTTTAGAGCTAAACATACCAAAGCTGATCAATCTTCCACCACCAGTCACCTGAACACCTCTGCCTTCAAGACACCTTCATCTGATACACTTTTCTTTAAAAACTAAAACTTGCTACACTGAACAACATGAAATGTAATAACTTCTGATGTAATGTAGACTGTGCCATATATATCAGTATGAAATATGCAAAAATCAAACATATTTCAGACTGTGCATGGCAATAGTTCTATACATAAAGGGGCTGATCTAAACTGCCAGTGAGCACTATACAGAAGTTCAACTGATAACCCTCCAGTTGCAATGCTTTTAAGATCTCAACAAAACATTATATACTGAAAAACCACCAGTACACTCTATCTTAAACATTTATGAAAACACTACAAAGAACTGAAGTGCTTCAGAATTTGTATCCAGTAAAGCTATTAGTCCACTTATGACCAACAGGGGAGCTACCTGAGATTTTCTGAACAGGTCTAACACAAACCCAAATTAACCAATTTCCTGCCTCACCAAGAATTTTAACACAGTTGAAAATGCAGTGGCTGTCACATTTCTTGTCCATAAAATTCATCCTTTCTGTGGGTAGAATTCCCCAAAACCAAAGTTAATGCAAGCCATTGTAGGTTTCAATCACTGTTACCTTGATATGTTGCATATTATAGAAACAATTTTTCAGGAGCATAACTCATGCCAAGGAACTAATAGCTACCAGCACCAAAGAGCTAAGCACTTGCCTTTGCAGTATTACATCGTGTTTGGGGGTCAGCATAACAGGTTGCTCAGAACAAAAATCCCACACTTCACAAAGGCTTTCATTCCAACCCAAAGTCAGAATACCAGCTGTACTGTTGCCCAACTTTACCACTGCTCAACAAATCCTTAGAATCTTACTGACCCAAGATGCCTTTGAGGAGTTATTTTCACTCAGAGCAACAAAGAAGACACATTTATGATCATTTCCTTCTCCATTTAAGTGTTTCCCAGTGTATCACCAAAAACCACATTTCAGATGCACCCTTGAGCCCTGGGAATAAATGGATGTGTAGTATGCGCGAAGTGTATTTTAACAGCTTCACCACCACTTACTCTTGGACTCTCTCTGAAGGACCAGTTCAAAGTAAAGTGAGTACAGTGTACACGTTACAGAGAACAGCAAGGGAAGATTTCTCTTTTTGTTTAAAACCAGCCCAAGTAGATACACTGAAGTTTCCGTAAGCTTTAACTGTACTCCATTTAAAAATCTAAGAAAGTGCAGTCAGGTGCACTCCAATTTCAAACCTGGTTGAAAATTTCTTCAGTGATTTGCACAAGTTGGTACCGTAACTGCTAATGCGCCAGTACTGACAGCAGTATGCTTCTCAAAGTTCATGATGAGACCAATGGAATCATAGTCAGAACAGCCTCAGAAGCTTAAGTTTTCGGTTTTATAGTGTATTCTCTTCAAGGCATCTGGAAATCCTCTAAATCCTTGCAATTACTGCAATTCCCCTGAACTTTCATAACAGCATCTTATAATCACTTTTCTACAGCAGAGTTTGAAAGCCAGCTTAGTCCAGCAACATACCACACCGGATACAAATGCATCACACATTAATCCGTAATTCTTATGTACCTCCAAGTGACTTATTTCTGTACAGTACTGCCACTTACTGTTTACACCTAGCATGGTTAACTCAGGTATTTTTCTGTGTCAGCTTTCTGCACCGACCTCCCTGGACTGTTTGGGCAACTTCTGTCCCAACTACAGCAGATCCCCAATCCTTTTGTGTCTGGCAGTATTCATGCTCTGGACTTGGAAGTTTCTTTTTGCCCAAGCAGCAACAACACACCAACTAAACACTACATTTGCAGGCCTTTCAGTGTCACAGAGTGTTGAAAAATGGTTAAGACTGGAAATCCCTCTTTAAATATTGCCTCCCGGACCAAAGCATAAACTTATTACTCAAGTTATTAAGATAAAAAATTCTGATTCCTCATGCTAGGGCTCAATGAAACTCAGAGGCAAGCAGGGCACCATGGTGCCAATATTCCATTTCTCTTTCAGGTGAGTTCTTTTGGGGAAGACATACAAGCTTCTTTTTAATTTCAGTAGCGAGATAACAGCAATTTTCAGGGCAGAAGTCATAGCGAATGAAAAATCAAAGTATTGTTTTTAATGAATCACTTCAATGCATACCATAAAGAAACTGTGTGTGTAAATATATGCATTTTCAGGAATCCTGCATTTCACTGAAGTAAAACATGTATAAAAGGCAACATATTTTCTAGAGAAGACCATTTATTTTATCAAATAGATGAGTCTTTACGATGAACTGGAGGCTGCAACAGCGGCTCTCTTCGGCTTCGGTGTAGTTCCTTCACGGAATCCATTCCTACAAGTAGAAATATGGTTACCACTTTCTGAAAGTATAATTCCCGCTCCAGGTTATTTTCTGACAAGTAATGTTTCAGATCAAGTTCACCAGCTTTTTTCAGCTTCTCTCTCATGCACTGAAATCACTAAAAAATTGATTATGTTCAGACGTTTTTATTAAGAAAGACCTTAATAACAAGTGTTTGGAATAAGCAGTATGGTTTTCACTCTCTTCTGATGAAGTAAATTTGACATCTTCAAACAGGAAGATTTCAGTGAGTGAACCCTGCAAAACTGTATCAGAAACAGCAAACCTGCTGAAGGAATGCCTTACTTTACGTTCATACCAAGCAACTCAGAAAACGATTTCAAGTTTGTGAAGTTCAAGTCAATTTCTTACAGAAACCCCCTACACCTCCAAACAGAGATTAAGACAGGCATGATGAAAGAAGAATTGGCCCCAAGCTCACTTTTGGATAAAACATTTCTACTTCAGCAACATCCAGTGGAAAGCAGGCTACAGCTGTACACTGTAAGGTATTTTCTGGCTGCTGCTGGGAACGACTGCATTCACCAGAACACTGTAATGGATCCCTCCATGCCACGCAGGTCTGGGACTTAGACTACTACTGCTTTTCACTTTTCATTTAATAATCCAATCTATATTTTTATGAGACCCTCAAATTACTTTGTATTTTTCATCCATCCTTCTTGTATATTAGGCCAGAAACTACAGATATTGATTTTAAAACACAGAGGTCACACAAAATAAATTTTGATTTAAGTTTAACAGTACAGACCTTTTTTTTTGTGGTCAAAAGGGGACTGGAATACATTTCAAGACTTGTCTCTTGCAAAAACCTGCACTTCACTGTAACCAGCAATTCAACTGACTCATGAACAGGAGCAATACTACATAAAGCATGTATTTTTACATGTGGACATTTTATTACAATAACCTCTGCGTTCTGTACTATGTACACTTAATAGGAACATCAGAGCTTGTTATGCACCCTAAGCATTAATAGTGAGTTTTTTTTATCCTCAAAGGAAAATGCAGCCATTATATAAGGCATCATTTATTTCATGATACATTTAAGACCACCATACCACAGTAAGGGTACTAAATAAAAATGTTGACTCAGAATGAGGAATTTTATAATTAAGTGATATCTACACATGATTTCATGCCACACTAGTTTCTAACAGAATGCTGTACCTGAATCGGCGGTAGACCTTTTTCAGGTGCCTCATGCGACCAGTACCAGTGGTGTTGCGTCTTTTAGCCTTTGCACTCCAGTTATCTGAAACATACAAGTTACTGTTATTCATCTGCTACAAATAATTAAGTTGCACATTATATTTGTATAGCGCAATCATTCAATCTGACAGAAGCAAAAAACTAACTAAGTCAATTTCTACGCAGTAATACTGCACATTGGCTAAAATACAGTCAAATCAGCATTAATTTGAAAAAAAGCACCAAGCACTGCAGGATGACACAGCATTCCTCCCTGGTCAGAAAGAAGATAACTGAAGAAGGTAAAGAAACACAGGTTTTTAAACTCAAGTCAGTGACAAATTTGTTACTTACACTTTCTCTTACGCTTAGCGGGGTAACCACATTTCCCACAGGTGGATTTCTGCAGATGGTACGCCTTGGACCCACATCGACGGCACAAGGTGTGTGTCTTATTTCGGCGCTTACCGAATGACGATGTACCCTTCGTCTGGAAAGCATTTCAAGACAGGGCACGTGAAAAATATCACTAGCACTTGTAAGTCACTCAACTAAACGAGTAAGGTCCTCTAAAGAACACACTGAAATCCAAAGTCCCACGTCAGAGCACGCACAACTCCAAAACGCCAACTCGGTTTCACCTACAGGTCGCCTCCATTTCTAGAAATAACTTCCTTAGGCCTCTCGCCGCCATTCCCCAGGCCCGCCCTGTGCCGAAATCACCGCTGGCTGGCTTCCGTTCGTTTCCAGCTCCCTCCTCACCACTCCCGAACTCGTTACACTGACAAACAGCGAGCTTTCCCGAAAAAAGACTATTTGCTGCCCCGCAGGTCGGCCGCACGCTCCCCCACGAGGCGCCGGCGACCGAACCCCCTCCTCCGGCCGCGTTACCGCAGTGCTGGTGCGGCCGCGGGGAAACCGCCGGCCCGGCCCGCGGAAGCTCGGCGGAGAAAGAGCGAGCCCGGCGGCGCCCAGGCGGCAGCACGGCCCCGCGCCCCGCCGCGGCCTCCCCGCCCGGGCCCGAACGCCGCCCGCCCCGCCGCCCGCCCTCAGGCCCCGGCCCCAGCAGCGCCTTCCCGCCGCCGGGCCCGACCGCGCAGAGCGCGGGGACCACCCCGCGTACCGGGCGAGGCCCGCGGCCCCGCAGGCCCCGGCGCGGCGGCGGATGGAAGCGGATGCCCCACGCCCGCGGCCCGGCTGCTCACCATCTTCCCCGGCCGCCAGCACCAAAGAGGCCGAGCCCCGCCCCGCTTCCGCTATGGCCCGGCAACCGCTTCCGCGGGCGCGGCGGCAGCGGCAGCGGCCCGCCCCGGCCCGCCCCCGCTGTGCCCCAGGGTCCCGGCCCCGGGCGGCCCGGGCCGGCTCGCTGGGGCAGGGCGGCGGCCCCTGCGAAGGCGCCGGTGTCTCGGGTGAGGCAGCGGGGAGCCTCGTTGTCTCTGGTGCTGGTGGGTGGGGTGTCCCGCGATGTCGTGCGGCTGCTCCTGGGAAGCAATGGCTGAGCGGCAGCGCGGTGTAAATCCGTCTTTGCTTGGTGAGGGGAATGTTTAATACACCTGGGTTGCCATACTTACAGAGCGTTAACTCTAATGCTGCTCCTCTGCAGCAGTGCCCGTGCTGCTCTTCAGAGGTGCCTGCAGCCCTGCTTCGCCCAGCCGTCAAGTCCTGACCCTACAGCCGCGTTCAGTGAAAATGGGTTTCCTAAGTGGAATTCAGGGACAGGGTAGTCTTGCCTGTCAAAACCTGCTTTCACAGTGAGCTGCCTTAAAAAACAGGCAGCCCCTCCTGCACTCTCTGCTTGCCGGTCTTGCTCCCCTCTCCCCAGGCCACGCGGCGGTTGGGCTGCAGTTGAAAGCGTGGCAACGGACAGCACTAATGGAAAATCACTTTTTACTCACACGCACGGTTTGAGTTTTCACATGCCAGCCTACCACACGTTTTCAGTAGGCAATGCACAAACTATACGCTATTTTATTTTGGGAGAGATAACATACAGAGAGAAATTAAAGAAATGTGTGTTCATCTTGCCGCCAGTTCAACACCTTGTCATCTCAAAGTCAGAAATTGATAATTGTAAGGAACTGAAGGAGTTAATGCCTCAAACATCCATCAACACAGAAAGCCTTAGTGTCAAGTTGTGGCCTTTGTGGTTAACATAAGGAACAAACCATCTGTTCAAGGAAGTGCAGAGTACACCAAAGGGTGCACTGCTCCGTTCCCTTGCGACTGTAGTGCCATATTCCCTAGATAAGACCCAAGGGGGCAGACATAGACTGCATGAAACCAGGCATTGAGTTAATGCCTACACTTTAGTTTACGACTATACTCTTGAATAAGGGCTAAAAGATTGATAAGAGGCATAAACACCCAGCACCAGATGGAGCTAAAGCTGGATAATTGCCCCAAAAAGCAAAAACTAAGGAAAAAGTAAAGGTGGTAGGGGGAATCAACCCCTGATTCAATTGGTGCACACCATCCCCTCTCAATGCACACACAGGACACATGTTCCACCTCTTCCTGTCTCTCATGGAAATTAGTGTTTGTGGAATACCTGCCTCTCTTTGTCTAGCATGCAAACCGGCCAGTAAGATGAACTTAAAAGGTGACAGAAAACTCTGCTGGGTGTGCATCCACCACCCAAGATTACTGGACTTGAGACAACACTGGAACCTGGGGTGGTACTCTGGATTCTTAGACTTTCTTTCTCTCCCTTTTCTTTCTCTCCCTTCCTTTTCTAATGTCCTGGGATTGAGTGAGTGGTGGGGTTTTTTTTGGTAATGAGGGAGGGGGCTATAGGGGCAGCCCCCTGTGAGAAGCTTCTCAAAGCTCTCCCAGCTCCAAGTCAGCCCCACCTCTGCACCAAGGCTGAGCCAATCAGCTGTGCCTCTGCGTTAACATATTTAAGAAGGGATGTGGTGAGGAGGAGTCAGACTTGTGAGGAGGAGTTGCTGCAGCTGCGTGAACACCAAGGTCAGTGGAGGAAGAAAGGAGGGGGGAGGTATGCTGGAGCAGAGACCCCCCTGTATCCTGTGGTGAGACAGCAGGGCAGCCACCCCCCCCCCATCACCCATGAAGATCTACGGTGGAGCAGACACTGGTTTGTGGCCTGTGAGGTGTTTCGCCTGAATGATCAAGGTGGCTGTGACTGAAGAAGGCTGGGATCTTGTGGGAAGAAGTAGCCCCTGCTGTTGTAGTTCAGCGCTGGGAGGATTGTGGCATGCGGGGGTGTCCCACACCGGAGCAGCTCGGGAAAGGCTGCAGCCGTGGGAGGGAATCCAGTTGGAGAAAGTTGGTGTCCCACACCAGAGCAGTGTAAGGAAATTCTGCAGCCTGTGGGAGGGACTCATGTTGGAGGAAGTTTTTGGAGGACTGTCTCCTGTGAGAGGGGGACCATGATGGAACAGGGGGAAGAAGTTCCAGAAGCTCCTCCCACTGAAGATGGAAGAAGAGGCAGCACTGACTGCACCCCCCCCCTCCCCCCCCCCCCCCCCCCCCATTCCTTGACCCTGTGCTTCTGTGGGGAGGAGGTAGAGATATCAAGAGCAGAACTGAGCCCAGGAAGAAGGGAGGGGTGGGGGGAAGGTGTTCTCAAGATGTGGTGTTGCTTCTCACTGTCCTACTCTGTCTGTTAAATGTTGCTGTTAGTGTCTGTAATAAATCTGTGTTCTTTTTTTCTTCCCTTAACAAGTCTGCCTTTTGCCTGTGACCATAATGGGTGATTCGCCCCTCCCAGCCCTATCTTGAATCACAAGCCTGGCTTATTTCCCTTCTCATCGCTGGGAGAGAAGGGTGGAGTGAGCGGCTGCGTGGTGCTCAGTTGCCCTGTGAGCTCAAACCACAACATCTTTCTTTCTTTTATTTCTTACAGATTTATCAATAAAAAGCCACATTGCTTACTATCCTGTCCCAAGTTTAAGTTGTTTCTACTCCAAGTAAAACATTTTAACCTGTTGTTTGATGTCATTTCACCTCAATTTAACACGGGAGGGGATCACAAAACTTTTACAACTTTCTGGGCTCCCAGTCCAGGTCATAATGTTTAACTGGCATCATAGACAGGAACCCCTCAGTATTAAAGTGGCAGTTGGGACCAGGCGTTCCCTGTAGCTCCTCTCTGAGAGAAGTCATACAAAAAGGGGGGGACAGCCCTCTGAGGGCTGGCAAGGCACCTGATTCCCATAATTGTATACTTATTACAGCCTCCCTGGGAGGACCGATTTTAGATTGTACCCTTTTCTGGAGAAATTAGAGAGCTGTAATGCTTGACCTTCCCCCGGTGTGACTTGGGCCTATAACAATTGGCATGATCTGCAAGTGGTAGTGGATAGAATCTCTACTCCAGCCAAAGAAAGGAGATTCAAAATAGGAAAAGGAAAAGCAGTGGCCCATCTGGTTTTAGGACCTGCTCTGGTGTCAGCACAATGGGATAAATGTGTGAGCCAGCAGGCAGAACAGGAGGCAGTAAAATCCCTTCAAGGTCTTGAGAAGGCTTTGCAGGGACAATTAGAAAATGAGATAAGTAGCCTCCCCGGTCAACTTGCTGCTGAGAGAGTGACTAACCAAAGGTTACATACCACTTTAACAGAGGCTTTGGAACAGGAGAGAATACTAAGGGAGCAATTAGATGAAACCCACTCCCAAATGGGTGTAGAAAATATAGATGCAGATTCTGATGGGAGAAAAGGATCAAAATTGTTATACCCTGTTAAAGACCCAGAGCATATAGGAGAAATATCTTCCCTTGAGGGGGGAGAGGCTATTATGCAACCACTGATTAAAACTGAGACTGTTGATGACAGCAAGGGAGAAGCCCAACGAGTCACCATTCGAACTGTCCCCTACTCCCCTACTGGTTTGCCTAAAATTCAGGGAAAACATTCCCAGAGACCCTGAGAAATGGAAACTGAGTATGTGTAGAGAGTATCTTTTACTGGGGGTGCCTGTACCTTGCTGAGTGAGGACAAGGGAATGGGGTATTGGGGGCTGGGGGTTTTTATAATCACGAATGGCAAGAGAGAGCTCTGGTCCATGACCCGAGAGTAGCACATTGGGCTGGAGGATTAGACCCTATAGAAAAGGGAGACCCCTTCTCAATAAGGACTCTGGCAACAGGACATATTCTAGAGAGCGTACAATCACTTGTATGTCTCCAGCTAATGCATGACTGGTTATTAATTCTGCAACAGCCCTCTTCTATGCAATATGTGGCAGGTCCTGACAGATTACTTCCTCTCGTAAAGGGACTGCCCGATGCCCTGAAATTATACACAGTGCAATTCCAATATCGTTTGAGAACACCCCGGCCCCAGAGAAGAGGGAGCCCCCAGAGATGACATGGGGAGAAGTAGCACAGGAATTGATGAATTAACAGGAGATGGATGGGGATTCAGCGGGCAGGGAGAGACAAAATAAAGCAGACCTTAGGAGGGTGGAAGGAAATAGGGCAATAAAAGCTAAGCCCTTGTGCAATTCCCAGCCCTCCCTGGTGAAGCCAGCGTGACCTCCTGATAGTAAAAGTTACACCCTATGGACAGAAGGCATTTCAAAGGGGGTTCTCCAGGCAGTGGTGGACAGGTTACCCACCCCCAACCTGGAAAGTTTGGTGAAAGGCTGGGACAAAATAAAGGTTACCCCACCTCTCTCAAACCCCAGAGATCTTTCTCTCCCAACCCAGGAACTTGGAACAGTAACCTCATCAGGTTCCCCGGGAGATCGAGCTGATTGATTTAAAGGTCCCTGAGCTGGGAAACGGGACAAGCCACCCTCAGTAAGTGAGCAGGGCGATGGTGGATGGGTCCACTTAAGGAGGCTCACAGAAAATAGTAAGGGAGACTTTCTGATTACCTTTCCCCTCCTTTGCCCCCTTAAAACTTTAGTTGCATTTCAAGTAGAGATGGGTGCTCAGATCTCAGTGCTCTGAGCTGATGCTGCTGATTGCAATGGCATTCCCCCTGACAAAAACAGATCTGTGTTCCAGATGTTTTCAGATGCTCCAAGCCACAGCCGACTGCTTGGGTAAAATGCTGGTTACCTGGGAATGAAACCGCAACAGAGGCACTTATGAACTTGGGAAAATTCCTCAGAAATATCCTGGGACTTGACCTATTGAAGGGACAATCCTGGGTGGATTTAAAAGGAAAGGAATGGAAATTTGGATTCCCAACTGCCTCTATAAGACTTTCACAGCAAGCACATGCACTTCCTCCTTATAAAATTGTTAATGTGAAACCCTGTGCCTTACAGTTAGGGGACAGGAAGGGGATCAATCCGGTAATAGAGCTGCAAGAACATGGGATATTTATCCCAACTCACTCACCCTATAACTTCCCCGTGT